TCTTATCTTGGGGGAGAGGATCTAAACCCTCTCTCTCTCTCTCTCTCCTCTCTCTCTCTCTCTCTCTCTCTCTCTCTCTTTCTATACTGAAATTGTGTTTTGTAAATCTTTTGCTCGGTTTGCCTCATTTTTTAAGGGCTTCAGTATCTACTGTTATGGTCCCATTTTGGCTATAACAAGTTCAATTGTGTAAGAGTTGTGATTTAGGTTTTTATAAAGTCATTTCCTGAAGTTTTATCAATTGTCATTTGAGTATTCACATGGCCTCTAGAATGCCCTTAAGTATAAATTATCCCCAAAGCACCTATTATCCCTCTTTTCAGCATTTCCTTGTTTTTGTTAATGGTGGTCCTGTTATTACTTTTGTTTCTTTTCTTTCTTATTTTTCTTAAACAAACATAAAGGTTTAAAGGTCTGTAGAAAGTCATTATAATGCCAATTTTATTTCCTCAGAGCAGTAGTAACACTGATATATGTTCAGATCTCAAAACAGTCTGTTTTTCCTTCTCCAGATTTTTTTAACCAATTATGATAAATATGGATTTGAATTCGCATTAAAAGAAGAGTAGAAACTATTGGGCACATGTTTTTTTTTTTTTTTTAAGATGTCCTCACTGCTGCTACCCAGAAATTAAATTACCTTGCATTATCCTTTAGAAATCACACTCTTGCCCCTTTAATACACTGAAAGCAAGGGGGCGGGCCTTGGCCGCGGCGAAGACTCTGATTGGTCCTGCTGGCAGGAAGTGGGCGGTGATCGCGCCGCCTCTGTTGTTGTCAGCGGCTGCGTGGTGTGAGGCCCAGGCGGAGGGAAGCTTCAGGCCTCAGGATTCTCCGCTGGCTTTTAACCACGGGCTTGGGGAAGTGGGGTGCGAAACGGGTCCTCTTCATTTCGGTGGGTTTCGGGCCCTGGCAGCCTTTTCGCGAAGGTGCCGTGCCCTGGCTACTCGACCGGGGCCCCTGTGTCCACTCGGACCGCTGATACCGCCCGTTTGCCCCGGAGCTGCCGGGAAGAAGCTGCCAGGAAGGGCTTTCACGAGCGCCGGCTGCCGCCCTCGCAACTCGCGAGGCCCCTTACTCAACCTAGGATCTTTTTTTCCCCTGTTCTGCAGGCTCGCTTCCGGCAGCATGGCTCAAAGGGCCTTCCCGAATCCTTATGCCGATTATAACAAATCTCTGGCCGAATGCTACTTTGATTCTGCTGGGAGGGTGAGTTTGGGGTGTATCTGCCTGCATCCCTACCTGCCCGTTACACCACCCTCCAAGCGTTCGGAAAGGAGCTCAGTTTTGCTTTAGGTGGATGCCATTCCCATTTTAAAAAATGTGATTTGAGGACAAATATAAAAGATAACTTCAACATATATAAACTATTTGTTAAAGTGCATTCTTTGAACATGTTGGCTATAAGATAAAGTTATTAATGCTATTAATAAAGAAATAACCTCAGTCTCTGGGATATAAATTATTAAAATTGGCGGTTGCACAGTTTGCCCTGTGTTTGGCACTTCTGATACATTTTGGTTTGCTTCTCAAAGAGAGGTGAGGAATCCTAATGGTATTCATGGTGCCATGATGTGTCTCTTTTGGTTCCTCCCTTAAAACACTAGTTATTATAGATTAATTTGGGTCAGTAATGCAGGTAGGAGGGATAGAAAGTGTAGTATAGAAGGCTACCCATATGTGTATGGAGTTAGGGTCAATCTGATTATTTAAAAGCCATTATTAGCTGCCAACAAGGCTTTTTTCCATCATTATCTTGAAGTTAGATGGATTCCCGTTGGCCAGATGGGCCTGCATTCTGCCTATCCCTGCAGATCTGGAAGCTGAAGTATATGCCTTGTCTTGTTAGAAGAGGATGTGTTGCTTCATGCTGGCTTGGCAGAGAAAACACTAGAAGATGTGTCCCAGTGATAGAAGCCTTTAATAAAAATGTAACTTGCTATTTAGGCTACTTATCAATTACATATATAAATTAATTCATTTCTGAGGGGAAAAACCCCTCAAATCTAAACTCTGGCCCCCAAATCATGATGTAATTTATTGTCTTTCAGTTTTTGGACAGATCCTACAAAGAAACTAGCATACCAGTTCTAAAATTGTTTAATGTTGAACACAAAAGATCAGACAGACCCTGGAGATCTGTCCTCCTTCGTTTGTAAACATAAAGATTTCATTCAGTAAGAAACTCTTTTATTTTCTGGCATCTGTCAGGAATAAAGGACTTTTAGAGACTTTTCATGTAATTGCTAGAGTTTGAATAATTTGGTGGTCTGCCACATGTAATCGATACTCTCAGGCAAGTCACCTTTATTAAATGCAGCATGTGCAAGTAGAAAGTAACTTCCCTTTCTCAGGCTGAGGCAGTCTCATTATTCTTGGCCCCTCAATGTAAGGCCAGGCAAGATGATAAATTATACATGATCTATGTACAGAAGGTGGTGTATTCTCACACTCTTCTATCTACTTGAGATTTATAGACCTTTTATAATAATATTGAAGTATATTTTATCATAATAAACTTAATTCTCAAGTCTTGTTGAAATCTTAACCTTTTGACAGAAATTATTAAATAATGGGAATATGTCTGTCAAACAATGCAGTTTCATCTTCAGAGCCTAAAGTTAAGAATCATAGTGGTGCTTCAGAGTAAAGCCAGATGTGGTTGAAAATCTGATCAGCCTTTTCAATAGCGCTCCTAAGAAGTGAATCTTAATGTCTTAAGTTATTATTATTAACTTTATACTGCCTTTTTACCCTTTACACTGTTAAGATACTCATTTTTAAAAAATGGGATTCTGATGACAGTAGGCAGTGGTTCGATTTGTTTGTACCATACTCACAAGGTAATATAAAATATTTGGATCTTTGTGATGTTCCTTTATATTGTTTTGAAATTATATTGATTTGTGAAATCCAAGTCTGAGAATCACAGCAAGTTCCTAAAATGTTTGATAATTTAAAGTGACTTTTTAAGACACTTAAAGATTCTATATATAGAACTTTAAAAATATTTTTCATATGCCCAACATCTGTAGGCCTTCATATGGATGTTATGTTTAACCCCAGATCTCCAACTTTAGTGTACTTTCAATCCGTATCCAAGTTATTACTTGTCATATACCCTTGGCCTACTAAAAAAAAAATTGTAAAAATGTCAACATTTATGTCTGAGAAAAAATGTAACACACAATCTCATTTAATCCTCAGAATTCCTTTTGAAATTGGTAGGGCAGGTGTTATTGTCCTGACTTTATGAAGGTTATTGAAACATAGAAAAATTATGAGGCGGACAAGATCTTTCAACTAATAACAGGGGAGGATATAGCCAGGTTCATTGATTCAGCAGTATTTATGAAGCCCTTTCTTTTTGCCAGGCACTTTCCTGGGTATGGGTTTTGATGGTAGGTTTGACAAGTTCTTTCTACTCAGCTTGAGGTTCCTGATGTGCATGAATTTGTTTTGCTTTCTTTATATTTTTTGCCAAATTTTTTTTTTTAATTTTCCATTATTTAAAACAACAAAAACACAAGTTTCTTTTGAAATATGTTATTATAACTGCTTGAGTCCAGTGTTACTGTTAAAAACAACACCTTTAATTTATACTTAATTTAATAATGACTTTACATTATAATAAAAATATTGTTTCAAATAATAGATGATCGCTATTAGGTGGAAAATCTTAGAAAACATTTAACTTAAAACAATATTTCTTGTCTTGAGTAGAAAAATGTAGTGATACTTTTAAGTTGTGTTAACATGCTGTTGTTAATTGTAAAGTTCTCCCGGTAGAAAAATGTGGTCTAGGTGGAAATGAAGTGCCTTCCAGGAGGTTGGGTGGCCCATGTTTTAAAATTTTTTAAAATTTCTCTCCCCATCTTATACTAGAGATTGAACCCAGGGGTGCTCTACCACTTGTCTACATCCCAGCCCTTTTCTTTTCTATTTTGAGACAGGGTCTTGCTGATTTGGCCAAACTATCCTCCTGTTTCAACCTACCAAGTCACTGGGATTACAGGTGTGAGCCACCACACCCAGCAGACCACGTTTTTTCTTTCTTTCTTTTTTGTTTGTTTGGGGTGGGTTTTTTTGTTTTGTTTTGGGGATTTTTTTGGAGGTGGGGGGTACTAGAGATTTAAACCAGAGCCACATTACCACTGAGCCACATCCCCAGCCCTTTTTATGTTTTATTTTGAGACAGGGTCTTGCTAAGTTGCATAGGGCCTCAGTAAATTACTGAGTCTGGCTTCGAACTGATAGTCCTCCTGCCTTAGCCTTCCAAGTTGCTGGGATTACAGGCATGGGCATCCAGCTCAGACCGTGTTTTTTAATATTTGTTTTCCCTTAATACCTACAGTTGACTCCTGAGTTCTCACAGCGCTTGACCAATAAGATTCGAGAGCTCCTTCAGCAAATGGAAAGAGGCCTAAAGTCAGCAGACCCTCGGGATGGCACTGGTTACACTGGCTGGACAGGTACAGAGTGCTAATGAGCTGGCATAAGCATTGTATATGAGATCCACTGTGTTACCTTTCAAGTGCTGTCTGGCTGAGTGGCACACCTTTCAGTGCTTTTTGCATTTGCCTGTGAGTCACTGCCTTTAGGAGATGCTGTGCTCTCAACTCAGGCTTCTGGGCTGTTACCAGTTCCCAGAATTTATGGCATGGTAAGCATACTGCCCATATTCATGCCTAACATTTGGATGGCTAGTAGCTTTCTGAAGTAAAAAAAAACAAAACTGATTTTAAGCATTACATAATAAGTTTGGAAGTGGAATTCAGTGGAAAGAGGTTAAGAAAAGTTTCAAAGCATAGTACCTGTAACAGATAAGAAGGATTTATCCTCAGGGAATAAAATATATCTAGAAGTATCATTTATCAAACAGTTGTCCTGTAACCAGCGCACAGGGTAAAGTATTGAGTTCATGAACTAATTCATATGATCATTGCTGGTTGTTTTACATTTGCTGTGTACCTATGTCAAACACCTAAAGCTTGGGAGAAAATTGGGAACAAATAGTACATTGGTGTCAAAAAAAATGAGAGAGAAACCAAGAAGGAAAATTGAAGAACTAAAATTAGTTGACCTAATTTAGAGAGACAAAAAAGACAAGCTATGTTATAATCTTGGAGAAAGCATAGTCTTCGAGACCCAGTGTTTCCCATTTATTTTGATGAATGGAGGAACAAGTTTGTATTCTAGAGCTTTGCATTTGAAGACACGATGCTTTTCATTAAAATGTAGGTTCCTGGGTCATATAGCAGATATTTTGATTTCCTAGGTTATGATTGGGACCCAACTTCCATTTTACAAGCATCAGTTTTCCTGTTGCAGATAGTGATATATGAAGTGAAATTTAAGGGCTTCTTTATGAAAAAAATGTACAACAGCAATTTCTTAGCAATCCTTTTTAGTAATAAGTGATTCGGTTTTTCCTTACAAGGATGGGGAAGGCAGGTAGAGTCAGCAAAGTTGTAATTTTGGGGAGCTTTAAGATTAGTATTTTACAAAATAAAAAAGAATGGACTAGATAATGTTGAACCATTTGTCTTAAGTTTAATGATTTTGTGGATTTTAGAAGCTTAACATTGAAACTGTTAAGATGAGAATAAAATGAAAGTATTTTGCTTTAAGAAGGAAGTTACCACAATTGTCATTTGTTATCTGCTGTTTTTCATATGTGGTGTAATTAGTAGATTAATCTCATTGGTGAACAATACTGTTCTTTATTTAAAATTATCAGAATTTGAATAAAATAGGACCAATACAATGCAAGTTGTCTTTAGCTTTCCTTTTGATTACCACATGGTAATAATATGTAATGCCTAGACTTCAAATCTTTTCCTAATATATTTGGAGTTTCTGTTATTATCCCTGGCCAAAGAGAAGATAGAGAGAGGCTGAGACAGATTATTAGACTTAATTCTAGGACTGATTACAAAAGAATGACTTAACCCCTAAATCAGCCATTCAGATGAGCTTATATTGTTACTTATTACAAGATATCTTGCTTTAGGGGGAAAAGAAGTGGGGACTGATTTCAAGTAGTTGAACAGTGTTAGGAAAAGCTATTATTCAGACTCCCTAACTACTAGAGCTAGTTGAGAAACTAATTGAAAGTTATACTTTCTAGGCTGGGGATGTGGCTTAGTGGGAGAGTATATGCATAGATTGCATGTGCAGGGTCCTGGGCTCAATCCCCAGCACCACAAAAATGAAAAAAAAATGTTAGGCTTTCTGTAGAAAAATAAAATAAATTTCACTCCAAAATAAAATGCAAGTTATTTATTTTCTTGGCTGTCTGGCATCATCTCCTTTGAATGTCAGTGTCTTTTATCCTTGAGTATCTATAATGCTCATTACTGGCTCCTGAAAGCAGCTTATATGGCAAGTATCTGAAGCAAATTGGCGTACTAAGCCATTTAGGGTATCTTCAGTTTCTTGTTGTTTTATGATGTAGTATAAAATCTTCTGGATAAATTTGCTAATGGCTTTCAAGGCAAGATTCCTAATGTCCCCTGTTAGGAAAACAGACTGTCTCCTCTAGTGTTTTGTTAAGTTAAATGCTGCCCTGTTTCAGTGTTGAGACAGTCTGAATGACATAAAGCTCTGAGTTGCACAAGAAATTAAAGTTGATTTGACCACAGAAGTTCATAATATTAATGCCTTTTCCCATTATTTTGTAGTTTACCAACTACTGTCTATTTGTAACTTCAATTTTATTACCAGAAAAATGCATCTACAAACAACACAATCAAAATACTTGATGTTGGGTGTCAAAGCAATGTTTATATGATGATGTATTTGTATGTTGCTTTCTACATGCCCATGTTCTTTCTAAAAATGATACTTTTTAGAAATCAAGAATTATAGCTTTTTAACTTTGTGCAGCAATAACTTTTTACCATATTTTTATAAATATTACATTATTGTTTGCACTTATTTTTTACTTGTCAAAAATTCCATTATTTGGGCTAGGGTTGTAGCTCAATGATAGAGTGCTTGCCTTGCATGCATGAGGACCTGAGTTCGATCCTCAGCACCACATAAAAATAAATAAATAAGAGAAAAGATATTGTGTCCATCTACAACTAAAAAATATTTTTTTAATTTCATTATTTGGGGAAATTTTAGCTTATTATAGAAAACCTTTACAACTTCCTTTCTTCAACATTGATGTTGATTGAGCATTTGTTGTCAGTGTGCAATGAAAGCTTTTGCAAGTTATCATTAAATATAGTTTGTGTGAGAAAACTACATGATTATAATTAGGATTTTAAATTATTGTGTTAAATTTTCTTCTCCAGTAGAAATACTGTTTGATACCTATTGCTGGTTCAGGTGGAATTTGAACTGGAGATACATTTGGTTCAACTGCTTATACTCAAAAAAATTATGGTGGTTTAGATAAGGTTTTGTTTTTTGTTTTTCTTTCATGTAAAAGGAGGCTGAGAGAGGGCTAATATGATAGCCTTAGGATGTTAATGGGAATGCAGGCTTCTTTCTGCTTCATCATCCCTCAGCCACTAGGTCTGCCTTTTGATTAAGATGACCACTAAGCCAGATGTGGTGCATGCTTGTAATCCCAGTGGCTCAGGAGGCTGAGTCAGGAGGATTGTGAGTTCAAAGCCAACTTCAGCAACTTAGCAAGACCTAAGTAACTCAGTGAGACCCTGTCTCTAAGTAAAATACAAAAAAGATCTGGGGATGTAGCTCAGTAGTTTAGCGCCCCAAGATTCACTCTCCAATACCAAAAAGCAAAACAAACAAACAAAAAAAGGTGACTACTAAAAATCCAGCCATTATATCAGCTTTTCAGACTCTTGGAAGGAAGAAAAGTTAAAGAAGAATACATTCCCTGTCCTTAAAAAGACTTTGTGGAAATCCCACTCATTATTTCAATTCTGCTTAGCTTGCCTTGGCTGGAATACAGTAACACAGTCACTTTTGTTAATAAGGAAAGACGGTAAATGTAGTCTGTTAACCAAGGTTTTGTTACTTAAAGGAGAGTGAATTTTGAAATAAAATGCAGTCATCTCTGCCGTAACTCCTCTACATAGCAAGAAAAGTGATCCTCTCTTTTATTCCAGTGTTTTGCACAAACTATTTAAATGACAAATCTCAATTTTTCCATCTGCAAAAGGATCTCTAACTTCTGTCTACTTTGTTGGGAGGGGAATTTTTGTAATAAATTTATCAATATCATGAAATAGTTTGAAATGTGCTAAGCAATATTTTGCCAGCTGTTTGTTTCCTGGCAGATTCATTTTGTTTCAGAACACCTTTATTCTTTTTTAAGTCTTTTTCTTCATTTCAATTATAATCTTTTTTGTAAAGCCTAGAACCAAAACACCAAGTCATGAATGATTTTTCTAAAGGTAGGTATAACTTAAGTCTAGAAGGAATTGCAACTGGTTCCAGACATAATACTGCAAAACATTGCTCTTTTTGCAGCTTGATTACAGTTGTCCATTGTGCTTCCTCTCAAACTCTTTGCTGTTGTGGGATTCTAAAGTCCTTAATTTGTTTGTACCATTGCATCAGTCCATATTAAATCCAATGGTTACACACCTGTATTTCTACTTCATAACTCTAAAGAAAGCTACGAACTAGGCTGCCCATCTTCACAGTGCTTTGTTCATGCTGTGTCTAGATTTATCTTCACTGTTTAGTTGATCTTGGAGAGTTCTACTGAAGAGATGCAGCAACATTTGGGCTTAATATTAACACATACTTAAAACCAAAAGCCTTTACTCTTTTAGTTTTTCCCATTGTCTGTCTTTTGAGCAAGAAATGAGGTCAACAATGATGGGGTACTTATTAAAATTTCTTCTATAACATCTCTTTATGCCATATGTGCTTTGGAAAATAACCATTAAGATTAGAACTTTACCATCTTGTTTGTTATGGTTTACTTCCCAGTAATATTGTAGTTCCATAGCCAATGCTGGTTTAGTTCAAGAAGATTAAGATTTGAAATAGAAATATTCTAAATAATTCACATATACAAAATATTTGCTTGGTAAGGGTGATATGTACAGGTTTAAACCGAAATTTAAAAAAAGCAAATGATCACTTTAGAAAGTACTGTACATTCACTTTGCAAACTATTTGACAAGTGAAATTAACTTGGCTTTTATTCTTAAATGGAAGCAGAGAATGAGATATAGTGACAAAAGTAACTAACAAAGTAAGTTATTAGAATTCAAACTTTTGCTACTGAAGCTTACATATTTATACCTATAGGTTATCCTTGTGCAGTATCACAAGCTGAGTCAAGTTGACTTGCAGATAACCTGACTCTTACCTTTTTCTCTTTACAACAGAGAAGTAAAAATGCCCTGAACTTAGGAAAGAGAAAAGGTAAAATGTTTTAAAACCCCAAAGCTGTCTCATATTTTCAAGTGAGGCAATTTTTGCCACAAATCCCCCTGATCTCTTTCATTCTCATCCAGGAATAAGACATTGTGATTAA